GGGGTGTAAAGCAAGGATCGCGATGCAGAGAACTCTGATATTTTGGAAATCGTTGCATGGAATGAACGGAAGTTTTCAATTTTCTTGGAACTAATCGGCTTGCATAATTCACAAGCAGCTTTTCCTTTTGATTCGACTTTTCCAAATGATCTCCAGTGGAAGTGGAGTACATGGCTCAAACAGGGCATAAACAGGGATACGCCTATTTGGCGCAAAGGGAATTGTTTACTCTTCATTTTGATAAGGAAAATCGTTGAAGTACTACTACTATTTTGGAAAATTCAGTCGAAATGGCACAGGGCAAACAGGCTTTCGAAGTTGCTCGCATTTTTTCTCATCAAGTGGAGAGTTGCTAGCTGTATAGTGGGAATGATGTAAAATGTAGATTTCCCAGAAAAGCACGAGTATTTCTCGTCACAAATGTGCCTGGGTCCCGTAAAAGATATCATAGGTACATTGTGGCCGTTCAAAGCATGAATACTTTTATGCGAATTTCGAATATTTCATCAAATCTCCATTGGTGATATTTCTTAATTATTGAGCACCAAGTCCTGCCACAGGATCAAAATGTTATTCGATATCTGAAGAGATAATGTTGATGAGTGTGGAGTCTCCAACTCTAGCTCTTCACAACCCTAAATTCCACTTCCCGAATCGCCATTTCAGGATAAAATAGTGGCTGTTCAAAGGAACAGAATTTCTGGAAATCTTCGACAGTGGCGCCAGATTATCTGTCAATGGCACCCCTCGATGACAGCTTTTGGGAATCAGGGAAAGTGGTAGAAAGTTGGGGAGCAAGATGGTATGCACGAGGGAGATGGAGAGGATGGCTCTCACCTAAAGAGGAGCTTCTGAGAACGGGTGGGGAGCAGGGTCGTATTTTTGTATGTTTCTCAATCGCAGGATGTGCACTAACCCTAATACACTGCGAAGCATAATCATAGTTCCACCCATGAATCTCACAAAATCCTGTCTTACACGAAGTTTTCCAAAATGCCCCCATACAAAAAATGTGGTAATTACCAATACCAATTCGCATGCCAACAACAAACACTAACTTGAAAAAACAATTTTTTTCGTCAATTTTTTCAAAAATGGTCGTTCTGACAACGCACCAAAAATATAGTTCCACGAGCAAATCGAATATATCAACAACAAGTGTAATAATAAAATAAATAAATTTGATCCAGTATTCTACTGGAACTCTATTCCTCCATTAATAGGAAAATACGGTTGCCCATGTTCGATTAGAGATTTTAATAGGCTTTCGGCCGACTGCCCCAATGATTACTCCCTAAGCTCACGGACATTGTGGAATTGTGCATTACTCTCATGGATTCATACGCACCATGAAGCCCCTCCTATCCTCAATTGGGTTTTAGTTGGGCTCTTCGCTGGCTAGGGCAAAAGAGCGGTTTGGTGACAAATGGTGCTGATGCTCGAGTGCATCGACTGTCAAGAACTGGTGCATTATCCTGCATGTAAACGAGATTTTCTTGCAGATTTCTACGCCAGAAAGTAAGGAGACGTTGTCGCATGACTTTTAGATGACAGGAGAAATAATTTCCTTTTCCATACAAAGCGTAGTTTCAGACGTTCCATTCATGCGATGGCAACCCAGACCATGAGACCAGCATCCACTTGAAATCCGGCCTGAAAACTAAAATTTGTTCTTCCTCAAGGTCGTGCAGTGAGCAACGGTTTTCGTCCGATAGCCGTCACAGTTGGATTTTTTCTCATCAGAAAACACAGCCGTGAGAAAAAAAAACGACACAGATAAGCAGTAGGGCACCGCAGCCAAAAGCTAACGTCACTCCATTGGGTTCGGTTACATCTTCGAGCAAAGCCAATTAGGTTTTCGCAATGGTTTTTCGTTAGAAACAACATATAACTCATATTCCCTGTGGGTGAGCTCAAGAGTTTCTCAGGAGACGTTTAACAGTTTCCTCTGAGACATTAACCTGCGAAGATGACTTGATTTCCCGACACGACACTGCAGAGTTGGATGCTTTCCTAAGGATACGGCGGTTATTCCGATCGGGCAGCAAAGGAGGATGTCCAGAGCTCTTCTCAACTCAATATGCTGTAGGTCCCTTGGAAAAATTGTTGATAGAATGATGAGTGCAGGCCGAATCCCGAGCGATCGACGATTCACCAGTTTTTGAGTCTTCTTTGCGATAATCTGTCCTTTTTCGAGGTCCATTAATGAAGTTCCACTTGCCATAGCCTAGAAGAGGCAAGAAGTCATAATGATGAGAAGTTTCACCGAACAAAAATGAGATGCAGCCGGAAAATATGCGGTGGAACTATCTTTTGCTGCGTTGTCAGAACGACCATTTTTAAAAAAAATTGACGGAAAAAAGTGTTTTTTCAAGCTAGAGCTCGGTGTTGGCATGCGAATTGGTGCTGGTAATTACCACATTTTCTGTATGGGAGCATTTTCGAAAACGCGTGTAAGGCGGGATTTTCTGAAATTCATGGGTGGTGCTTCGCAGTGTATAACTTATTTTCGCGAGTTGCTGGCGGACGCTTTCGCATGCACCACACGGGTAACCCCACGGAGCTGATTACCGACAGGATATTTTTGCTCTGGGCCTTTTCACTCCATCCTTCTTTCAAATCCATTGCGACCCATCTGTCCTGAAGTATCATTTTTCTTCCAATCACGAAACATATTTGACTTGTTTTTTTGATTGCTAATTTTTCCCGTTTGGGGTGCACTTCATGCCTTCCTACCTTTTTCCCCTGCTCAGTATCTCGGCACTCAGTAATTTAGTATCAGGGTGAGATGCAGATAGTTTCAGCAGTCACCTTTCCCCCTCGCTATCACTAACAAGGGAGGTCGTTCAGGGCGTGGTGCGCTTTTTCGAAGGTTTTTTGCATATTGTAGGGGCTCATGCAAGGACCTGAAAAGTGTGCTTCATTTTCGCTGCGCGCTTCCAGGAAAGGTAAAAAACGAGTGAAAAGAAATCTTTGGAATCTGCTTCGTTCTGGGCCTCTTTACGGCGTAGGTCACTTGCAACTTTGACCAGTTGCTGAGTGGGGGGTCCTTATAAAGGGGCTATTTGAATCGAAGCGAAAAATCGCCGCAAATGAGCTTCCAACTTGGGTCACATGCTCAAGGGTGAACGGCTTCTTGCAGTGGTTTCATCAAGGATAAGAGTGCGATGCACAGTGTCGAGCATCGGATGGCCTAGTGGATAGAGAGGAGGTTTCGCAATCGGACAGTGAGGTGGGGTTGATGAGCTTCGGCAATACACCTTGCGTTAATGTGGCTTTTTGCATTTTTTTTTGATTTCGCTGTTCTCGCTTCCATTTGTGTCTGCGCATGAATATAACTCGGATATTTGGGATATTTGCCATTTATGGGCACATTCTGAGTAGCTGTACCTCATGAGTCAGTGCTGTTCAACTATTTCGATTTTCACGCACCATTGAACAAGGACCGTTGCCTGGACGTTGATCCTCATAGGCTATACAGTGGATCTGATTGCGAATTTAGTAATTCTGGTGTGGTGCATTATAGACAATTTGGGGCCACATCTTCTTTCCAATGAATTCGTTATGTAAACCAATATAGGGAACGTTCACCGCTATTCTGTCGTTAAAGTGCGTGGACGCCAAGAATAGGTGTTATATTTGTGATCAGGGCCACTGATTACCACTAAAAACGAATTTTCGGTCAAAACAATTGTTTTGACCTTCTTGGGTTTGCTTACTGAGGTTGCTGCCAGGTGTCCGTAGCGTCAACGACACGTCATCGCTGTTACGAAGATGTGAGACTTCCGCTCACACTGCCGACCAAATGGTCGGTCACCTACGACCCGAAAAAGTCAAAAAAAAAAAATTTTTCGCTCAAAACTTGCTCCTAGGGGTAATTGACAGTGCTGATCACGATTCTAGACTTTATTTTTCGGTTTCAGTGCCATCTGGCACCGGCATAGCGCCGAAGAGCTGAGTCTGTGCATACTAACGAATTCGAACGAAAAAACAGTTTTGCTACATAAAAGTAGGATTGTTCAGTTTATCGTGAATGTTTTCGTTAGGACCAATTATCTAGACAAACATGGATCCAAAAAATGAAAAATTGTAGAAAAGCAAAATTTTGTCCTCGGTGGGATCCGAACCATCGACCTATTTTTTTACGTTTTTTTTTATTCGTAGAAGCGCGCAGCGAAAATGAACCTCAGTTTTCTTGCCCTCGTATGTGCCCCTACAATATGCACAAGATCATTTTGAAAAAGCTCACCACGCCCTGAACGACCTCCCTTGTAAGGACGTCTATGACTTGGTAGTGTGGAAGTTGTACAACCCTGGAAAAAAACAAGGCGACAACGTCCCTCATCAGCCCCTATCCGTTATTAACCTTATCTGTCACCACTAATTTCATCAGATCCCTGTATCACCTGTTCAAACCAGCTTCTTACCGTTACTGTGACACGCGCTATGAATCAACTGATACTTGAGTTCTAACGTCCCTTATCAGGTCTTGTCAGCTGTCAACACTTCCTGTCACCCACAATAATATTCTCGTCGCACTTCCTACTTCTTGGAGGGTCCCATTGTTACTGCGATTGGGCGCTTGGAAATTCTGCTGACAAAACAGACAGATGCAATTGCCACACACCAACAGACACACTTAGCAGGATTATACAGTCGTCATCCTTGCACTTGATAGTCAATGTCAGTGCGGCTGCGTGCGGCGCGGTCGTCAGCACCCGTACTGCACCAATCGTTGAACCAGAGAGTGACATTACTGTATTATATCCTTCGTGTTACTCGTTTTCTATCACTTTTTGTCGCATACGCGTTTCAACGAAAAGGCTGAGAAGGCTTCAAACAGTGTGCACGCTCCTTCTCGCCGACACGCCCCTATCAAGTGCAAGGATGACGACTGTATATAGCTAAGGTATTTCGCCAATGCCTAGCCTTTACAATGCTAAACAAGGTGTTTCCATGGACAACATCCATGGTATGCTCATTTTTGTTTTTTGGACCTGATGGCTGGCCTCGTATTATTTTCGTTTGTAAACTGTGATGGGGCCTACGAGGTTTTTTGGCGGAGTGTAGATAGCCTTGTTGCTCGACTGGATGAGGTCAGTTGTTTAGTTCTGGGGAGGCACGGTTGGTCTCATAAACCTGAAGTGTTGTGATTGCTGGCTGATGCTTTCTGGATAGCCGGGTTCAACCGCGAGGCAGGGCACATCATTGGTTGGGGATTTCAGTCGAGTCCGTGCGACCCCTTTTTTGGGGGTGGGGGGGAGGCGGTACGAATACATTTTTTTCCCTAACTTCCTGCCACTTTTTCCAAAATTTCCCGGAAACCTCCCTACTTTTTCCAGAAATTCGAGCGTGAGGTACATAGTACGCGTGAGCGTGGGGTATTAGTACGCATGAAGCAGGAAAATCACGAAATGTCAACCACTCAGTCCCACCACCCACCCCAAGGCCAGAAGGTAATACGGCTCCCTCTTCCCAGCAATGATGAAGTACGACCCCCCCCCTCCTTTTACAAACGTCGGTTAGCCGCAAGAAAAATCAACTATCAAAGTGAATTTTTCTCAGCCCAAATACGATCCCCCTCTACTGGCTGCCAAATACGACCCCCCCTGTTGGAGATTCCCAACAACGATGTGCCTGCCGTGAGGTCACAGCCATGGAGACTGACTAGCCAGTTAAGTACATAAAAAACCGTCGAAAATGCTCCCGAGTGAGGTCCGATGCCTTCAAAGATTGTGCTGGTAATAGAGGCGCAGAGGAAATCAGCGCGAGGTTAGAGCGATTGCTTGCGGGCTGACCAAGAGCACAGAACAAGGGCGAACGAAGTGATAACATCTGCACGCAGTAGTCGTACGCCGTTAGCATTCAGACTTGTCAAGAGTGGCCATTATAAACTCCTACCGCCCTTGCCTTGTAATTCCATGTGGGCAAAGTGGCATGTCTTGTGCGGATTTGTTACTATCGCTCTTGGCGCTCTTACGCATAGGAAGGGTTCAACCTCTCAGATGCGTATGTCTGCGAAAAGTGTTTTAAAAAACACCGTTCAGGACTGCTGTGTGGGCATAGTCTGGAAGTGACGTTATTGGTGCACCCTCCTCTTCCCACTTTCTATAGCGGTGAAGAGGAGAGCACTTAATCCAAGTCGTTTTCTGGGATTATTCACCCAACTATCCCGAATGGTGTCGTTCAAGCACTGCCTGCAACGAACAAAAGGGGAACAGAAGATGAAACTCCAACTACTCAGTACTCTGTACAGTGCGTGATGGCTTTTAAAAGCACTGCTTGTGTTGTCCTGTAACACCTTCTTCTAATACGGTAGAGAAGTGAGGCGAGTCAGTCAGGAGGTGAGCAGGATCAATGACCACCATCACCCAGCATCCTTATCACGGAAAGTCGGGGTGTCCGCACGACCCCCCCCCCCGGGTCAGCACGGGTGCGAGTTCGAAGCCCGCCTGGGGTCAAAACTTGCCATAGCTGGGCAATCTCGCATTAATATGTGTTCATAATTATAGATTATGGATTCTCTGACGCATAATCCTGCCGGCCTGAAGCTAAACGAACCGGTCAACACAGCTCTCGCCAGTTTCTTCCAGTACCACATACATCTCTGGAAAAGTAAGTATTGTGACTACATCACACCAAAATGCCCTCATGGAAGAGGGGAGATTAGTCGCCGTTGTTCATCACGAACTTTTGAGTGCCTCGAGGCACAGGAAAACTGCCGATCAACTGCGGGTAGGTACCTTAGGTGTTAGTATGCTCACCCGCTCGGTAGAAATGTAGCTGGATGCCCTTGTATATAAGAGCTCAAACGACAAAAGGCGCATCTTTGGCGACGGGAGAGGGGGGAGGGGGGGACTGGGGCATTTTCGCGCTCTTGCTGCTTCCCATAGTCGTGTCATCGCTTTCACAAGAAGCTTTTACAAAAGTTGACTAGTCATCTCCACAAACTTCGACTGCTATCACCTCATGGTTTCACGAGTTTCACAAATCTGTTTTGATGGCTTAAAGGCAGTTGGGACGATAAATCCCCCAAGAAGACTAGTATCAGTACGCCTGGCAGGACGTAATTCTGCGACCCTGAGCAAGCGCTGCATTGCGACTGCTCCAAGGAACCCTACGGCCTTATAAGGGCCCTATCAAGCCACAAGGTTCCGACTCAAACGCCCGCCAACCAAATGACGACCAGCCGTATCTTCGGTAGCGGAATTGGCAAGATGCCTACGGGAAACTCGTCCGAAATCGATTTTCAAGTCACTGAGAACGGAGGCTTTTTCTTCGCAGGATTTTGACCGTTTCACTCCGTTCTTTCGCCATTTCCCCACTATATAGCGCCTACTAGCATTTTTGGGCTGAGTAGGAAACCATCGTGCCAACTGCTTTTAACGCGACAGTGGGAAGCAGCAAAAGTGCGAAGTGCCTCCGTCCAAGCTGTACCTAGCAAAGCCTTCGATATTAGACGCTTTATGGAGAGTGCGCCACGCAATCTAATTCGGGCGCTGCCGCGTAGCAGCGAGCTTCAAATAAGCGTTTCTCGTATGTGAGACTGGTACTAATTCACGGATCCTGCTGATAGGGGCCCAGAGATAGCGCATCCGAAGGTTTGACCCCTTGACCGTGCTCGTGGAAACGGCGCCCCCTGCCATTGCATAACTACACCTTGTGCAACAGAATCATTTGGTTAGAGCTAGTATACGAAAGCAGATATTTATTTTTCCAGCATTCATGATGTTCTCACGTTATCGTACCATCTGGTACGTTTTGTATGGCTCCTCATGTCTGGGTCTATCAGTTTGCTGTGCCCTGTTCGCCGACTTCGTTTCGTTGCTCACATTGCACATCGTCTGCTTTGATGTCTATGCTTCACGGTAAGGATATTTTAATTTTCAACTGATCCACGGCAACATCCTTTGATCCTTTATCTCTTATCATCAGCATTTGTGCCTTAAATATGATCTTTTTCCTGAAGGTTGTCAATATTGTTGTATTTTTATGGTTCACTGTCTGAAATTTTTAATCACGAGTCAAAATGATATGTGTATGTCTGATTCCTCTTGCCCTCTAATGACCACTAGAGCTTATTTACGTTGTCATGTTGAGTTGATAAGATAGCGTGTGGTGGTGGAGGTGTTCTGACCGGTTCACCCACATTCCATATTACCATTTTTACAACTGCGGTTGTGCTTCAATTGTTGCTGAAGCTTTGCCACCTGATTCCTCATCCTTCTTCCTACTTGACTGTACTGCTATCGATGTTCCTTGGAATATCATCTCCACCAATCGGGAATGCAGAAATCTGATGAAACAAGCAGTTTACTGACCTCCGATAACCAATCTGTGACGTCGTATGGTGGCGCCAGTACTGCAGTCACTACTGACGACACTCTTGATGCTGTGGAGCCGATCACCCTCTCATGGAGGAACGTACGGTGCGTTCATTATTGACATTTTGTTTTCCTTTTTGAAATATTCGCTAAGAGCTCTGCACGTCTCCCATAATTTTCCACATTTATAGCGGCTTCCGATGTGCCCATATATACTTTCTATGGCTAAGGTACATTCATATGGTCTAAAGTTACGGTAATCCTCAAGATCAGGCCGCGTTCATATACTCTACATACACTCCTTATCCCTGAGACGGAGTAGGCGTGGCTTTGAGCATGGCATAGGACGGGTTACTCGTGGGATATCCAATTTGAAACAACTGCCATCTTGTTCTGTGTTAGATGTAGACATGATTACGACTGTTCCAAAATGAAAATATCTCACGAAAACCTGGGCCGCCGCCATTTTAAAATCAAGTACGCAGCCACGCCTACCCGATCTCAGGGATTTCGAGTATAGTTCGCTGCGGACGGTTGGGCGTGTCCGGAGTATGAGTGTGTCACGCAGTCAAAGCCGTTCTCTGGCTTCTTGTTGAAGCGCGCATGTGGTGGGTAGAAAACGAGTAATACGAACGATGTGATGTGGTACAGTCTTATCACTTGCTCGCTTTAACAACTGGTGGAGAACGGTTTGGCACCGCGCCAAACTCCTCCCGCCTGACACGACCAACCGTCCGCAGCGAACTACACTATACCTTGCGGTAGTGAAGAATTGGCGAGAGGAGAAGATACGTATGGATCGATCCGAAGAACTGAAGAATTGCCGAAATGCAGAGTCGCAAAATTGCGGAAATAGATCAATACGTACCCAGTCATTTTCGTCAATTCTTCACTATCGTAAGGTATGAACGCAGCCTTAGCTGTAGTGAATGTTATCAGTCACTGTCCGCAGTCCCAGCTGACATCGGCTACTCTAACGGCTGCACAAGAAGCGCTTATCGGCTTGCCTACGGCGTGACTGCGTTTATCGGATTGCCATACACTTGCTCAACTACCTGCCAATTTCCTCATTGAGATCGCTTCCTACTTTGCGACGGGAAAACGGGAGAATCGGTCAGTAGTGAGAGAATGCGCGATAGGGCATTTCGGAGAGAGGAAGTTCGTAGAACCGACTTTTTGGGAGAATGCGCACCTGAGCAGTGGATGGGCACCTACTTACTGCTATTCTATTATTCTCTATTTCTCCGATCCTTCTGTTCTCCATTTTTTCCCATATTCTCCGATTTTTTTTCCCGTATTCTCCGATTTTATCCAAGAAAGCGAGCTGCCGGCACCGATCGTCATCAACCCCTTTGAAGCGCAATACTCTGAACTGAGATGGAAGTGGTCTACTGGCAGATAGCACATTCAGCGATCGGCGCCATCAAATCTCGGGATCGGCGTAGTTCGCCTTGCGTCTTTCTATTCTGCGAAAAGGTGATTAGCTCCCATTGGTCTGGGTGCAACTTGTACATCAACTGGCCCCTGAAAATCGTCGTATAAGCCCCGTCTCATTTGATAAGCAACAACGATTTTGAATGGAGGTAGAATGCATGCCGCATCCCAAGATGGAGTGATCAACGCTGGCGACTGTGTCTTTTCTTTACTCTGAACCACAAGACCGATACCCAAACTTTCCTGGTCGCTAATCGACCATTCGACGATTCTTCCTATTCTCCCGTTCGCAAAGTATGGACGCAGTATAATGGCGTATTTTTTACTGCTTTCTTAGAAATCAAAAGAATCCTCAATAGTGAGAGTTAAAAAAGCTTCACCAGAAAAAAGTTTTTACCAGAAGTCTCGAAATCAGGCAGCTAACGAAGTAACGTTTAGCATTCTGAACATTTTTGCTGTCTGTTATTCGCTGACATTTGAAGCTAAAATATCATGCCCCCGCGTCTCAACTATGTACATTCGCCTCGTGCCTCCTTGTGCAACGTAAGTGCAGCCCAAGCTAGCAGACTTATCCCACTTTCGCGACTCCAGAACGCAGCGCAGGAGCAAAGCTACAAGCCGCTGAAATTCTGAGCTCCTAAAGGCCCACCCAGTTGACTGCCCACTTGCCAGATTGCTCTGACGGAGCGCGGCCCCTCAGTTAATCTTTGTTGGGGCCGGCGCGTTTATTAATCGAATTGCCCATGTCATTTTTACTGACCCGCGCTACGTTAGGCCTATTGAATGATTCTGCGCTTCTTTACGAATTTTCATTCATTACAAGCATATACTGTCATTTACAACCCATCTTGCAGCAAAGGTAAAACGCGAAAAAATCACGAGCGACCCAATTTTCGTGGTGCAAAAGCTCGACGCACCACACTACACTAAAAGATGCACGCTACCGTAACCCTAAATTCGGACGCCGAGTTTTTGAAAATTTCTTTTCACTTTTCGAGAGTTTTATCTTCTGTGTGTTTTCATACTATTCTTTGTATTGCCCATGACATCACTACTGGAGATGTGATTAAAAGGATTTTTGTGCGCGGGGCTGCACAGCAGACCGCAGCTCGGCTGTGACTGTCGCGGGACAATTGGGTTTATGGTATTCGCAGGACTCTTCTTGCTTCACTTTTTCTTGGGAATTACTTATCAGCTACTTCATAAATTGAAAGCAAATACGCATTGACACTGCTATCGCCGCGCAAGCTTGTCTTAGAAGCTGCTCGTAGTCATGGTTGATTAGGAGAGTGTCCGTGGAACAGAGCAGATACCTGTTGATTAACGGCTCCACTCAGCTCAATTAGATAACTTATCAACGCGCCATCCTACTACATAATAATCCGCCTAAGCTATTGTCAGTTGTTATCACTGAATTCACAGGCACGTGTCACAGCAACATTACACTTCGATTACAAGAAGTGATGTAGGGAGTGGGACGAAGATACTGATACTGTTGTGGGTGACAGGGAATGGTAACAGCAGATTGGTCCAATATGGTGCGTTAAATGGTCAGGGCAGGGAACATCGTTGTTGGGGAATTCCCAATAGGGGGCGTATTTAGCCGCCAGGGGAAGGAGGTCGTATTTGGGCTGGGAAAAATTTATTTCGATACTTGATTTTTCTCGCTTCACGGACGTTGTAAAGGCGGGTGGGCGGTGTCGTACCGGTCATTGTTGGAAGAGGGGGGGAATACGTTCGTAATTTATGTTTTGGGCCGTTGTTGTAGGAGCGCGCTGTCTGACTTTTTTTTGTGATTTTCCTGTTTCATGCCGTACTCCCCCCCCACGCTCGACGGACTCAATTCGATGAGGAGGGACAGAGGGTCGGAGGGGTGGGGGGGGAGTCGTACAGACTCGCCATCAAAATCCCCCACCCAAATGATGTGCAATGGGTCAGGTGAGGCAGGGGTCAGGTATGCCCCAGGAGTAATTGCGAAGAGCAAGAAGTCCTGCGTTTGTCATGTTCTCACTCAATGAAGCTGCGTCATTCTGTATAGGTGGGATGGTGACAGGTTTTGACGTTAACTGCGCCGTACTGGAACTTGACGCTGTGTCAGTGACTGGGTGCAAACTGATAAGCGTGACGTGACGTTCCGCTTTAGAGTGGTTCTTCCGGAGGCACATAGGACCGAGTGGGTTCTCTGAATTGATAGCGTGACTCAGGGAAACAGTGTGAGGTTAGTTCGAAGAGGTGTCATAGGAAATGGGCACAAACAGTGGTGGTAGGTGACAGGAAGTGATAACTACCGGCAAGAGCTGATAGCGACAAGTTTGTATCTGGTACACCGCTCACAAAAACATTACCACCATACAGCTCACTTATCAGGCCTTCAGTAAATGTAGCGGAACTCATTCCTTCTCTCTTAATCAGCTAGCTGGCACCAGAAGCACAATACAAATGGACCTAAATGGGTTTCAGACGCATGAGTTTTTGGTTTACAAAAACATGTCATGGACAGCAACAAAATAACTATCAGTCCCACTGGAACCATAGTATTTTCCCAGCACAAATATCTCAGTAATCCCAGTGTGTGCCATTTGAGGCGTGATTTTCCGGGATGCATTCAAGAGTAGAATACTTTGTAGGGGATGTATGAAGCGGAAGTACGCAGGGCACGTATTTATATAGTAGTGAGGCGGTTCCTAAAGTGACGGGTTGCTTGGGATCTGTATGCGGTAAAGAAGTATTTTTCAAAGCCAAACCAGAGGAAAGAACGGACAAACAGAAGCTTCCAGCTGTCCCAGGAGTCGTCACCTACAGTCATGATCCTGTGAACGATAGGGTGTGTGACGCAGGCATAGCTTGAAGCGCAGCCAGATAGAATTTCCCATCAAATATATCGGGCTCAGGATAGGTTAAAGGAAATAGCCCCTGGATGCGCTGTAATCCGCGCTGCGTTACACGCCGTATCGTTTGCAGGGACCATGCCTGATAGTCGATAATCGCGGACTATGTCTGTAATCGCCTCAACTGCATCCTGTAGGATGGCAGAAATGATGCACCCCATGTTACTATTTTGTATACTATTTGTAATAATTTTGAATGGTGCTAGAGCCTTTTTCTAACACATTTACAGTACTTATCTAAAGGTGAAGATGGAGAATAATTCCATTCTTCAGGGTGACTGTCGCTGGAAAAGGACGTGAACTATTGCAAGGAGTTAATGGTTTAGCCCGACCTGGAGAGCTTCTGGCTCTCATGGGGGCTAGGTACGTTTGACTATTCTATGCTAAGTGGCTTTTACATGTTGAGGATATGGTATGTGTGAGGCTTACCATGCGCACGGTTGGGAGTCAATTCCTGGCGCCAAGGTTAAGCGAGCCCCTCAGTCCCCCAAGGTCATGGAAACTTCAGGGCGCAGTTCGGCTAGGTGGGGCATTTTGCTGGTTCCTATCGATCACTTCCGATGTCTCCAGCAGAGACTTGCAAGTTCTTGTAAAGCTGTGCAATAGCAAGAGCATCGTTTACACTTGGCAAGAGTTTGCAATGCACACCGAAATGAGACGTGTGATTTAACAGGGACTAGCAAAAGAAACTAGAGAAAAAGCAGAATGCCCACCCCCTCCCCAAGTCGACAGCGCCAAAGTTAGCATGAGAACCTCTGCGTTCTCGCGTCCTTTCACTAATGAGCTGATGAGCCCTCATCCTGTGAATGTATACGTTAGTTTTTAGTGGTGCTGGCAAAACCACGCTACTAAATACATTTCTCCACCGGAATCTCAGAGGACTTAATGTAGAGGGACGTGTGGAAATCAACGGCAACGTGGTACGTCCAAACTTCATCGGCAAAAATTTCTTCGTTAGGCACAGCTTTTAGATTGGCCGAGAAATAACGGCCATATCCGGTTACGCCCAGCAAGAGGAAATGTTTGTTGGTACCTTAACCGTTCGAGAATATCTATCTATTCAGGTAACGCTTCAGCAGATATTTACACAGCTGTTCTGCAGTAATGCCATTGCCTTTATTTGTTTGTGCTAATGGCGTTTGTTTACAGTCTTGTTCGCTACTGACGCTGGGGAGTCTGTAACGCGCGCGCCAGTCAGTTTTCTTCCAAAATGCTGCGCCTGCCAGCTTTCTGCAGATTCGTGCGTGAAACGGGCTGGAATTTGCGCCAAAATTCACCCCCCCCCCCCTGACACGCCCCAGCAGCCGCAGCAAACAAGATCGTACGGCATTGAACATCCGAATCATAGCACGGTATCATATTGTAGAGTTAATTTTATTTGCAGGCGCGTCTTCGAACGAATTTATCACAGGAAAAACGAGAAAAGCGTCTAAATGTTATTTTGGCTCAGCTTGGACTCACAAAGTGCCAGGATAACCGGATTGGTGTCGTGGGCGTTCAAAAAGGAATTTCAGGTCAGTAAACTATAGCTCTTAGAGCAATCGAGTTTCTCTGTAAGGCCAGTAATCGGTTGACTTTGAGGTAGGGGGAGGGGGGTTCAGTCCAGCATTAAAGGCGTATGGCACAATAATTTGGTGTTCGGTCCAAAATGCTAGCAAAGTGCTATCTATATAGAGGGGGGAAAATGCGAAAAAAACGAAGTGGAACGGGCCAAAGCCTGCGGAAAAAGCCTTTCTTTATTGATGACTCAAAAAGCAATTTCGGATTCCCTAGGCATCTTGCCAGTAATCGCTACGGTAGCTACGGCTGCACGTAGGTACTCATATATCCATGCAGCACCGTGCACATTGATAGGGCCTTGTAAGGTAACCTTTCTTGGAGAAGGCGCTACGTAGCGCCTGCTCAGAGGCGCGGAATCATTTCCTTAGAGACACTTCCCGCGATCAACTAATCAGCGAAGTGCCTCTGTGCATTTGGCGTTGTCCGCCCTCGCCAAAGAATATTGCTTTTCTCACTTCGAAATTGGTGAGATATCGAAGCTAGACGCCGTGGATGAGTTTTGCAAGACTGGCGTGCAATCGGCATACTGTAACTCTGTAAGAAACACGTCTGACGCAAACACGGAATTGGTGTACATAGTGTTGCCTGCGGCTGCGTCTAGGGCGATTCCCTATGCTTCGATTGTCGCTATTTGCTGCATAACGAGTCCTTGCACTGATTTGAGCTGGTTGGACGGTCCAGCAGAACTCATCCAAGTCGGCGGCTCCCTGCAGCGGAGCTAGTCGCCTGTTCAGGCGTGTCCTTCAAACTTTTTTTCGCTTTCCTTCGTCTACTTGGAGTACTCATGGCGCTTACTGCGTTCATGACTGAGCCTCTGCTAAGCACGTGATCGCGGGCACGTCCTAGAAATTTGTCGTGCCTACTGCCTTTAAAAACAAGCAGTATCTAAAGAATGTCCCTTCCACATGCCAGGTGTATGGGTCCGCTATACGGAATGGAGCTGTAGACGAGTGATGCCCCATCTCCATACCCCGCCCGCGCTGTTTCAAGGTGCAACATTTGCGTTGATACCGAGGTCCTGCAGCGGAACAGGTACTCAGTGGTAGAGAGCAACCAGAAGTAAAAGACTGCAGAAAAGTAGCGCGATGGCTATGGTTAGGCGTATGGCTGGCCGTGCGGGGTGCAGATCATGGTGAAGGCACCCCGATCACTTCCACCCGGCCCCGTTCCCAAGCAGTTTCAACCGCACAAAAAGGTACGCTGCTGCAGCTCTCACGCGTGCAAAGACAAAAATCGTATTACTCACCTCACACGCTGCAGGAGCGCTGAGTATGTAATCTTGTCTTTGATAGGAAATGGAGTGTTGAGTGCCACCAATGGGGCCTAGCAATAAGAGACCTACCAATGGCGCTAGACTGGCAGCTCCACCTCCTAACGGACGCGTTCACCCTTCAGGAAAGCCGGTCATTGAGGTAACTCGAGAAATTCCATACTTTCCAGGAGGAGAAGGCCGTCGTTTGACGTTCGCATGTGAGTTGCTGTCAAATCCAGGTATTTTGTTTTGCGACGAACCAACCACCGGATTGGATTCATTTATGGCCGAGCACGTCGTCGTAGTTCTGTCAAAGCTAGCAAGAAGTGGAAGGTTTGTATCCGAATCACTAAGTCAGACTGATAAGAAATCAGGGCACGTTGTACGCCGGGGACCCCGTGTGAAAGGGGTCGTATTTGGTCGCTCGAGGGGGGAGAGCTCGTATTTGCCTTTGCTCAAAATGTTTCTTGGTTTTTGCCTTTTCTCTGTTTTTCCTGTTTCAAATTGCTGATGGATTTTTGGAAAGAAAACTGCGGCAAGATAGTGGGATGCTGTAAAAATTTGAAAAAACGGTACGGCCATGATGGGGATTAGGAAGGGGTCGTACAAGCAGGAAAAAATTCGAAGGGTAGTCACACTCGTTAAAAAAAGTTCTCTTAGCGGGTAGACGACTGCTTCAGTAATAAACAGCGCTGAGAGTATTTTCCTCTAATTTCAGGACAATCGTGTGTACGATACATCAACCCGCTTCACAATTGTTCCTCATGTTCGATAAAGTGACGTTATTAGGTGAGGGTATCATTGGAATGTCAAGGTTTGACGTGAGTCATGGTTTCTTGAAGCCCACCCTCATCAAAGCAGGGATTTCTACATTGAAGTCCAGTTACAACTGACTCATTTAGCTGAAATTAGGTGGCTGACTGGTGACGCACCCCCCCTTCTCCATTCACTGCAGTTTTTTTTGGGAAACTACAGGAGAAGTTTCCGGAAACTGGGAATATAAGAGAATATATCTCGTGCATCACGCGGGAACCTGCGAGGCTCATTACCGGCAGGATATCTTCACTTTGAACCTTGAACACCTCCCTGTTTTGGTGTTTACCCCTAGTTTCATCGGACAGACCTTAGCAATATAGTCGTAAAAAATGTAGTGAGAACAGTCCCTTATCTATTTTTATAAATTGTTATGATTACCTGCACAGTTCGCCAATGAATCCCACAAAAAAAGATTATTGATGGTTATGGAACAGCTTTATTGCCTCATGCACATTATCATCCCCAATCAGCTGCTATCACTTTTTGTCAGCCACCATTTAATATTCCCGTCGTTATACCACTATATAGCCTGTTCTAAACTATTTCTCACTCTGTTGGAACGGACACTATGGAGTTGGTTACCCTCTTCTATTGTCCCAAAAGTTCGTGGACACTTTCAAACTTTTTTCGAATTAAGTTTATTCCAGTGGGAAGCAATTTTGATCAACTATATATATGTCACCTTCATTGGCAACTTGTTGCCAATCACTACGCAATGTGTGGTTGCCCTGCTTCCAGAAGCCTCTTAGTTCTGTGCCCAGAAAGGCAGCTGGGTCATTTTTGAGGTACTATCAAAAATCGTATTTTTTACCAAGAAGATGGCCGCTGTGGGATTAGTTTAGATGGCGATCGCTAAGTCAGGGCTACACGAAGACTGTGGTGGAATTCCCCAGCTAAGCTTCGGGATCTCGAGCAGTGTCGTTTTCCAAATGTGTGACCCTGAGCTGTGGTGGAGTAGGCAAACATTGCTCGGTTTTGGGACCAAATGGTAGAGATTTTCCACCCCACTTTGCAGTTGATTACAATAGGGCTCCCTGGTTACCATAGCGTTGGAAGGAAGGAATTCCGTTTCGAGAGCGGAGAAAGGTACCCCACCACATACACAGCCTCACCGCCCTACTGGATTGATAGGATTGCGGTTCTGCCCTTTCTGGGGGATCTAGCCGCTGGCGCTCCCAGGAGTGATTCACCTAGAGGCACCCACTCCATATCCAGTTACAGTGCTGTTCAACCAGCCCGTACAGCGGAAGCGGGAGAGAAGTTGTAGACAGTACCCACATGTGCTCCCCTTGGAGTACTGGTCAACTCATGAGAAAAATTTTGACCGAACTTCAGAACTTTTCTAAGGGAGCGAGGCCCTCTCTCATTTGTGCTTTGGGACCAGTCAAGTGTAAGGACTAGATAGCAAGTTGATTTGTACGAATTGGTTTTAATCAAGGAACACAGTAGGTCCAAATCCAAGGCCTCCTTGGACGAAGTTTTTCACCCGGATAGAAGTCACTAAAGCAGAAGCAATTGAGCCATTCCAAAGCCGTACTGTGGAAGCTAACATCAAGATCTAAATAAGGGAAATGCCGCTTATGGCTCCAACCACGTTGTGGCTTGGTAGAGATTCATATAGCGAAGTGTGTCGAAAATGATGAATTTCAATTACCGTTTTTCATATGAGAACAGCGACTGCGAGGGACGGTGAAGAAGCTGTGGAATGCTTACCTCACACATAGACCACATAACTGGATCTCGAAATGGCTGCGGAAAAATCTGATACGAGATTCAAAAAGTGTCCACGAACTTTTGGGACAACCTAATACAAACGATGGAGGGATTCAATGGACCCGAAATATCAGCGGGCAGAATGATTTTGACTTTCAAGGTTTCGGTGGTGTACTGGATGAAGATGTTCTATCTTACCAGTACCCAATCC